TCCATTACACTAAATTACACTACACTACACAACAGTACACTACACTACACTACATTCCACTACACTCCACTACACTACATTACACTACACTACATTACGCTGAATGACACTGCACCGCAGATAGACAGGTATACAGATAGACAGATAGACCAGGTAGACAGATAGACAGATGAAAGAGAGAGAGAGAGAGAGATAGATAGATAGATAGATAGGGTAATTAGATCAAAGAGAGAGAGAGAGATAGATAGATCGATAGATAGATAGATAGATACATAGAAAATAGATAGGTAGGTAGGTAGATAGTCAGAGAAAGAGAGAGCAAGCGTGAGAGAGATCAAGCACCTTTCAGTCCATCAGTGGCTTCGCTCTGCCATCCCTGATTCACAACAACCAGCCTCTCCTATAGGTTTCCTATTTTTGAAACTTCCGCCACCGCCTTGCGCGGTACTACTGGTATTTCTATGGGATTTCTATTGGGTTCCTGTGGGGTTCCCATGGTATGTCTATAATATTTCTCTGGGAGCACTATGGGATTTCTATGGGGTGTCAATAGTATTTCTGGGGAGTTCCTCTGGGGTTTCAAAAAGATGCCTATGGGATTTCCATTGGGTTCCTATTGGGATTTCCATGATGTTTCTATGATATTTCTAGAGGGTTTCTATGGGATTTCTGAAGGGATGCTATGGGAATTCTATGGTATTCTTTTGGGATTCCCATGGGGTTCCTATGCGATTTCTATGGATTTCTATGATGTTTCTATGGGATTTCTTTGGGATTCCTATGGCATTCCTATGGGAGTTCCATGATGTTTCTATGATATTTCTATGGGATTACTCTGGGATTCTTGAAGGAATTCTATGATATTCTTATGGGATTTCTGTGGTTCCTACGGCAGTTCCATGATATTTCTATGATATATCTATGGGATTACTATGGGATGTCAATTGAAAGTAAATCGAAATCCATTGAAAATAAATTCAAACTGAATTGAAATCAAATGAAAATCCATTGAAAGTAAGTTGACATCAATTGAAAATCAATTGAACGTAAATTGAAATCAAATGACAGTCAATTGAAATTAAGTTGAAATCAATTGAAAATCAGTTGAACGTAAACTGAAAATAAAATTAAATCTATTGAACGTAAATTGAAATCAATTGAAAGTACATTGAAAATCAATTGAAAGTAAATTGAAGATCAATTGAAATCAATTGAATAAATTGAAATCAATTGAAATGAAAGTAAATTGAAATCAATTGAAATGAAAGTAAATTGAAAGCACATTGAAAATCAGTTGAAAGTAAATTGAAGATCAATTGAAAATCAATTGAAATCAATTGAAAATCAATTGAAAGTAAATTGAAAAAAACAATTGAAAGTAAATTGAAATCAAGTGAAAGTAAGTTGAAATCAATTGAAATCAATTGAAATCTATCAATTACACACTATTCAGGCTCGTGAACTGGAAAATTTCCATATTAAAGAGGATCACAAAATTGTTTAGGGGGAGGGGGGGCCCTACACTAATCAGGATACCACATTATTGGATATATTAAATATATATTGTATATAAGATATTTGAAGAAATTGATAGATATTGGATATTAATATCACGATATATCAACAGGATTCGAGATATATTGGTTGTGATGATTTCCATTGCTTCGAAAAGGAGGGAAATCAAAAGTGAACCGAGGCGGGTTTGAACACGCAGCACGGAACGTAAGTCACTCGACTTCAGGTTCTCCTGGTGCGAAATCCGAGGCACGTGTCACTGTGCAAACTCAGTGCAGATGCGTGAGAGATGATAGCTGTTGTTGTGTGGATTGTGCAGCCATTTTGACAACATTTACTCCCAACTGCCCAAGTCGTGGCGAAATCCCAAAAATCTTGAAATTAGCTTGGGGGAAGGCTTTTGTGGAAGTCGTGGCGATGCGGCGTTTAGCTTGTGTTTAGGGTAGGTTGCTGTTTTACTATCTCATGTAGACCTAAAGTGGCGAAGCGGCGTTTAGGTTGTGTTTGGGGTAGGGCGTTGTTTAACTATTAGCATAGTGCTTTAATCTTGCTAGTTGCGTTCTCATTGAGTTTGGGATGGTTGCTGTTGGGTTCTGCAGCTACTGGGGTCTTGCTGTTGCTGCGGCTGCTGGTTCGACGGCTGCTGCTGCTGCTGTTTCCGGGTACTACACAACGCTGGGATTATCATCTCTACACGGCCATGGCGGTGTGCTGGGATTCTGCAAATTGTCATTGTTTCGCTACCAGTGATCCAAGGAAGGGCAGGTTTGCGGCTTGCAGGCCAAAGTCCATGTGTGTAGATGCGGGGCTTTTTCCGTACCTCGTTTTGGACCTCGTTTTTTTCCTTTATCAGAACCCATCCTGCAGTATACAAACTAGGAAAAGGGCCTGCTTCGCGTTTTTGTTTGTGGGCGTCAACAGTGCCCACGAAAAAAGGCCCGTTGGAAATCGGCGTTCCGATGGGATTCGATCAAAAACGAATAGAACCATGATAGTTTGGTCAAGGCTTGTTAAAGCTAGCGTTTCCAATGGGGAAAGGGGTTTTGCAAGGTCTGTGCCGGGACAGGGGTCGTGGCGAGCGTTTTGATTGGGAATAGCTGTCAAACGCAAACATTGCAAGGACTTTGGCGTATGGGTGTAGCATGTCAGCGGGCAGTGTCTCAGAAGACGGTGAAAACTATGTGGTTTCCTGCAAAAGGGTCAGAGATTGTGCCCGTTTTGGTTCACGTGAACTGGGCGGTGCCAGGAGCGATGTTTACAAGCGACTTTGGTGTGTGCCCTGACTGCACAGCTCACATGGCAATTAAAGAGGACGTTTCTGTCCTTCCGCAATTCCAAGAATCGTTTGTTCAAAGGAAGGGAACTCCTAGAAAGCACATGTGGCTGTTAAGTGTGTGTGTCGTGTTTTTGAGCGGTTTCTGAAACATCAATTGCCTCCTTCTCACTTTGCCAATCGACATCCAATCTTCAACGGATCAACCACAGCGGTCTCAACTTGTTAACCGACCGAAACCTGCGGCACACTGGACAGGTCTTTGAGCTCTTCATAGCCTCGAGCCACTCGAGCTGAGATGGAAAGAACAATCAGACAAACTTGTGGAAATTGTAATTGCCAAACCACCGACTCAATAGTAAAATTCCACAATAGTCCACGAATTTTACAAAGAACCCTTGTTCATACCATTTCCCAGCTACAGAAGCAGCTACCAGAGTGTGGTCATGAGTTCCGATCAGTCGGACCTTAAGTGGACCTTAAGTCAGATCATGTCAGATCAATTCTCGCTGCATCTGCATCTAAGACCTTGGTTTCTTGGACCGTGGAGCTCTACGTGTACATGGGGCCAATGTGCCAGGCACTTCTCGGACGGTGGAGCTACGAAACTGTAGCACCTCCACGGAACAAGACAAGGACGGAAAGATCTGGATCCAGGGAGGATCAATTTGGAGGATGATGGAGGATGATGGAGGATGATGTCCCAAAGTGATATGAACTAACTAAATATGGAAAAAAACGATTTAAACGGACTGAAGATAACCAAAGGATGAAAGACTTTGTTTGCATGTTGATGGAAGATTATAAAAGATTATGGAAGAGTTGGTGTTCAAATGTTTCACACTGGTTCCAAGAATATCCAAGGCGTTTCTGTTCAGCATAATTCTTCACGACGCAATTCCAAGTTGTTTCATGGAGACGATAGATGGAGACCATTGTTTCCGACAGTTTGAAAGGATTTGCTCAACATGTTCATATCATTACGATTGTTGCTCACTCATGACCTTATGCGACCCTGTTTTGATCACCACTTGCTCTACAACCGCATATATCAGTATCGAAGCCCTAGCATTCAATCGCACTTGTTCCCATGTCCACGTGACCAGGAGTGGATCTTCTCATATTTTCAGGAACATCCAGGTTCCTGGGAAGAAGCTGAGAAGGTGGCAAGCCATGTACATACCACGTTCTTTCGATGATGTGCTCGAAATCGATTCAAAAAAGAAGCTGCGATATTCAGTGCAGATTTGAGCCGAGTTGCAGTTGGCTGGACCTGGTGTGGAAGATGCAAGCCGCTTCAGCTTAAGGCTCAAGCAAAAGGTGGAAAAGATGAAAAGGTCGTTTCACAGATTGTCACAAACAATTCAAAGTAGCAACGGCAATTTCTCAACACGCATGCTGATCATGCTGCATGCACAAACTGACCCATCCATATCGACAGGTGCATCAGTCAAAACCAAGACAAAGCAGCCACCGGGAGCAGGGGATGCATTCTTGCTGAAGGTGCTCAAGCATCCAGCAGTCCTCAACATAGCGTTGCCGCTGAGGTTGAATTTGTCGAATTTGCCAGATATTTTGAATTGCTTTGAAACTCGAGAACACCCCTACATGCCTTTGACCCATGGATTTTCTTCAGTGAAAATGCTGTGCCAACCAAATGGTGATGTCGCAGTTCTTCCTATTCAGGAGTGCCAATGCCATAAACAGCTGTAATTGACGGCATGTTCAGCTGATCTGGCTTTAAACGGACAAATATTACGGCCACTTTCTCCGCAAAATACGTCATGCACCACACTTTACACGCAACATGGGGGAGGACAGAGGAACCCCAAAAGCTTCCCACAATGTTTTTCCCAAAAACATCTTCCATGCTTGGGTTCTGGTTTAGTCTGTTAACCGCGTGGGGAGTGAGCATGGTTGAACACTGAAGGACAGAAAGGAATGGGTGGAAGGAAATAACAAAGAAATTGATAAGGGAAGGGACTGTGGGGAGATGGGATGGTGGACAAGAGCATGGACGGAGGGAAATGGGTGGGAGGGATGGAGCGCGCAGGGAGAATCTGGACGGCAGGGAGAGAAAAATGGGGGGAGAAGAACGGCGGGCATAAGCGAGTGACAGGGGGTCGAAACCCCCCGAAATGTGGCGCCAGTCCATGTGACGCGCCAGGGACTCAGATGCTTCTTTTGCTTTATATATAACATTACACATATTTTATCATATAATTTTTGTATATAACTGTAGACTCACTGTAGACCGCACATGGGTCATGAACGATGCATCCCGTCTGAATGGTGTACGGTTTTTTGACATTTGAATATGGCGGGCCAGGCCGCGAGGCCCAGGAGATAGATGGAGGTAGTATAAAATACCACTTCGTATATTTACATGTAATTATCCTATGTTTAGATGTTTGTTTACATGGCCAAGCGGGCCAAGGAAAACCTTCCCGGAGGTAGTCGAAAATACCTAAAAGAAAAACGTATTTTTACATGTAGTTATCGTATCTATGTATGTCCGTATGTAGGAGCCATCATCTAGAAGAATACCCTACTCCGGGCAAGATAGATAGACAGACAGATAGCTAGGTAGATAGGGAGGTAGACAGATAGATAGGTAGATAGATAGATAGGTAGATAGGTAGGTAGAGAGAGATGGAGAGATGGAGAGATAGAGAGATAGAGAGAGAGAGAGATAGAGAGATAGTGATAGATTGGGATATAGGTTGATCCATCAGTCAATCGATAGATAGATCTACACATAGATAGAGACATAGATAGATTTAAATAGGAAAATACATACATGGGGGTCGATTATTTTGAACCATAACCATGTTGTGGCCACGTTCAAAAAACATGGGAGACTCTTGGGGTTCTTTTGGCCTCCCCCACGCCACTTAAGTATTTGCGGAGAGAGTGGCCCAAATAATGTCCATGTCAAACATATCAAACCAGATCTGCAAGTGGGCACCCCGGGTCCCGGCCCATCTCAAACAGCAAAAATGTTGTAATGTGTTTTTCCCTAAAGCATTTAATCTCGATGGGGTTATTATGTAGTTTCAGTTCATGTTACTGTACATCATGTGTTGCATGGGGGGGTATTTTTGTGTTTATGTCAAGCACACCAGACATAACGGACATGCCATTATTACGCCCCTTGGGTTAGCGGAGTTGTATGCAATAGTTTTTCAATCCTCATACCTGTCAACGACTTTGTGCCCAGGTCTGACCAGTTGGTCGCTGTGGATTTCTTCACGCAAAGGCGATTGGTTTTCATATGGCAAAACTTGCAAAACCATAGGTGTCAATAGGTTTTTTATATCCAGATGCTTGAGTTTCCCACTGATCTGTTTGCTATACCACGTGCCACTGTATCCACTGTGGAATCGAGTTAGATACTCAATGTGATCTCAATGTGACTTGTTTGTGTTGTCAAACCACGTCCGATCGTCAAATGCCCTATGCTGGATCAAATTGTCATCGACCGAAGGCGACCATGCCTACACATGTGAAACAATATGGAGATCCTTGCCTGTGACGCAGACTGCTCTCAAATTTTGGAATAATTTCACTGTAGCGGAGTTTGAGTTGCTGACTTGAGAGCCCGGAAAGGAAACCAGAATTAAAATCATTGTCACAACGTCACAGGAACTTTTGCGTGTTGAGAGTGCGCTAGAACCCAGGACTGAAGCTTCGCAAAAGCCGCCGACATTGCACTGTTGAAAGCAAGGCAAGTCAGATTAGGGAGCCATGCCAAAAGATCCAAAAGTGAAAGTCTCTCGTTGAATCTCCATCCATGTTTTGATCAAATTATGTGTTTTTTTTTAATCACCATGGATAGCTGTTGTGTTTTTCCATTGCACCCATCGATCCAGTCATCGAATCGATGATTCTAGATCTGTGGTGCCTTCACCGCAAGGCGAAGCGCGACTCTGGGCAGCCCAGGCAGCGCCGACTGCCAAACACTTTAGGTTCTTTGAACACACATGGCAATGATGCTGTTTGAGAGTTGTCGACATGATCGTGGGCCTGTTGTGCAAATTCAGACTTGCTGGTACCCTTCAAACATCTTCAAAGATCTTCAAAGATCTTCAAACAATCCCATCTGATTGGCATTTCACTTTGGCATTCGGAGCAACCTCACCCGCTCGGCATCGGCATCAGACCATTAGATCCACCTTGGAGGAACATGCTATGCCATGCTATGCCATTAAAACTGCCAGATGCAAAACAAGTACTCTGAGTTTGTATCCTACACTGAATAACATGTTCCTAAGGTTTGAATACGAGCTCTGTCCAAATCCATATTGAATATATTGAGAACAGGGTAGCGCTAGAATCACTTTGGTCAGTGGACCTCACAGGATGAAGCTGTAGAAGAAGAGCCGCAGATGCTTCACGATGCTTCACATTCCCATTGTTTCACAGATTCCGAATTGAAGAATTCGTGAAGAATTCAAAAGTCGAGTAAAGTCGAGGATTCAAGGTTTTTGGGAGCGTTGCAAGAAATCATAAGAAATCTATTGAGAGTGGGAGCATTGATGTTGACATATGTTGACCAGTAGATTTCTCCTGTTGATTTTCTGATAACATGTGTCCTCCCAGGTTTCCCAAGTTTCTCTCCGTTTCTGTTTTGGTCTCAGGACACTGCCAGAAGTCCCAGAAGTCTCCTCAGTGCGACGAAGCAGAACTCACTGGAGGGGTTTGACACTTGTGGGACTTGTGGGATCTTGTGGGTGTGTCTTGGTAATAACCCATTGATAACCCGTATAGTTACCGAAGTTACAGATCTTCAAAGGAACTTTAGTTAACAAAGGAAATCTAACCAGCAAACTGCGGAGTTACGCACACATGTCCATAATCAGTTTTCACATGGTTTCACATTATCATGTCAACCACAGAGGGAGAAGCAGTAGTTGGGAGGTTAACACAGCAGTAAGTGGAAACTAGATGTCGGTCTAGGACTTACAGTTTCTTGTCCCAAGCTGCAGACTCTGAAGCAAACAAAAAAATGGTCGCACTGACGTCACACTTTGCTTTGTGGCAAATGTATTGCGCGCTGTAGCTCCCATGTTTTCCAGATCATTCGATATCTTTCGAGACATAAAAGTCATAGTTTTGCCTCGATTCAACTAGAGGCGCCAAAGCCTTGCACCAACTCCCAACTCACCGACTTGGAGCCGAACACATCCATCAGTTGAAGCCTCAGCATGACACGATTCCTCCATGTTCTCGCTATCGATTGATGTTGCTCGTGTACCCCAATGACATCACAGAAGCATCATGAGATGGTGATGAAATGGAAGTGAACGGTAACGAAAAACCATCCTGCGTCAGATTGAATGTGATCAGTGATTGCATTGTTTTGTTATGTGTTGTTATGGTACGTAGTGCATTTGATAGCTCATAGGAATAGGATCTCACCATAGATGTCTATAGTGGCATAGATTCTGTGTTCATTTCTTGCTACAAGATACAGTACGTCTTTGGCAGTCCTTGTCCGTTTGAGTCTGTCTTCTTGAGTGCAGAATCGACAGCAGTAGGTAGGATTTTCATGGATCAACGTGGCTGGGGCCTGGCCTGCCTTTATTTGGTTTATCTACTCATCCCAATGATCCTGCGGTACATGGTTCGAGCCAGTTTCAGAGGCTAATTTTTGAGCAACTCCGGCCCACTTTTAGTTTTTGGTGGCCATGGTGCGTGGAGCAAGGAAAGCTGTTGCTGTCGGAGTTGCGGTGGCTGTTGCCTGCAGTGTCCAGCAGCACTTGAATTTTGTGCCTGGGCCTCGGCATGCTGCTCCAGTGGCCGCAGCAGCAGCCAGCATGATGATGGCTCCTGCGGCTTTTGCTGATGAGATCGGCGATGCTGCAAAGAAGCTTGGAGATGCTTCCTACTCTTTTGCCAAGGAAGTGGATTGGAACAATGGAATTTTCCTCCAGGCCCCTGGTAAGTTTCAGCCCTTGAAGGCGTTGAAAGCAATTGACAAGATGATCGAAATGGGGGCAGCCGCAGATCCCAAGCTTCTCAAAGAGGCAGCAGAAGCACATCACAAGGCCATCGGGAGCATCAGTGGGCCAAATGGTGTGACTTCGCGTGCTGACTGGGATGCCGTGAATGCAGCCCTTGGCCGTGTAGTCGCTTCGGTCCCCAAAGCAAAGGTCATGGCTGTTTACGATTCAGTGAAAGACATCACGGACTCCAA